ATGTAGGAGGTAGCACTTGAACTGAGAGGGGAAGGACTTCTAAAAGGGAGAGGTGAATAAGGAGTGAATTTCAAGAAGAGAAGAAGCATGATGGGTGAGGGGAAGAGAAATGGAATTTTGTATCTGACAAAACATATAGACCAGTTTGGCAAGCCCAAAGAGTTTGTGAACAGGAAAAATGTGCAGTAAATCTGGAACTAGATGGTAAAACCCTTTAAATGTCAAACAATGGAGTCTATTTGATCCCAGAGGGAATAGGAAGCCACTGGAGCTTTTTGAGCAGGTGAATGACATGGTCAGAAATGTGCTTTAATTCAGCTATGTGGAATATCAGAGACTGGAAAAGATGGAGTACATGTTTACACTGGAAAGGAGAAGGATCATCTTATTCTCTGAGACTACAGCTATTACAAGGATGGAGGATGCTGCTGCAGTTATATGAGATTTGTAACTGGAGATGAGAAGACATTTGATAATAACGGCCCACATTTTTTCCACAAAATGAGTCAAAGTCCTCTTGTTGAGAAGAGGGGGAAAGATGATGATGTAGATAGCTTTGAAAGAAAAGAGAAGGTCTAGAACAGCTGATGTGGGCTATGCAAGAGAAATCTGATCAGATTTAGTCTGATACACCTAAATAGTTGTAGACAACTATTCAGACTGGATAACAAATTTGCAGTGGATTCAGCTGGCCCAGTTTTAAGACTTTCTCTAGTAGAGTTCAGCAACCAGGCAAGCAGAAGCAGAGGTGGTGGAGCTGAAGTCTTCAAGTATTAGGACAGGAACTGGGATGGAGAGAAGTATTAATATTATGAGCCTGGTACTGAACTCAGGGAGAAGAATAATCTGAGGTCAGTAATTAACTGCTACCAAAATCTGGTTGAGTGACATATCTGGACTAAGTGAACTTCATAAGATAGGTTACTGAGTGATGTAGTATATGGATGAACACTTTTAAAATGAATAAAACACTAGGTTTTCCAAAGACTTTCTATAAAGGCTTAGTGTATATAGTTAATAGCTATTACGTGGATTTAACACATGCTGAATACAGGAATTCATAAATTCATGTGACTTACTTCTTTTTGGAATCTCTCCAGGGTAAGTTTTCTTTGCATTTGGTCCTGTACCCAAGGATCAGCTGCATATTCGGTTTCTAAGAGAGAGGTCCAACAATTTGCTGCATCTCTCTTTGTCTTGGTAAGAACTATGCGGACCATTTTTCTGTCCTCTACAAGAAAAATTACAAATTATGAAATTATAATTTATCATTGGATTTGGTTTTTCAAAATCCTTCAAGTTATCATGGGAGATTTTTTTTTCAACAAATTTCAGTTGCTATGTTTTTAAAGATGCAAGGACAAAATAATATGTTTTAGAGGGGATGAGGGGCCTCTGACCCAGAAACAATATGTGCTGAAAATATGCCAAATGGAGTTTTCAAATGTAGCAAATATCCTTACCTAGTGTCCACGTTCCCTCATCAGCTATTGTAGAATCAAAGAGTTTGCCCTGAAAAGAGAAATTTGCAAGATTGCCCCAAAATGTTGCAATTCATCAAATATGTAAAATCAACTTTAAAGAAATTTTCATGATTTAATATATACATCATGATTTTTCAATCCTTCATATTGTCACAGAGAGGCAGAGTAGCATAATGGATAGTAAGACAGCCTTAGAGTGATGAAGATCTGGCTTCAAGATCTGTCTTACTTGGTTGTGTGAACTTGGGTAGGTCACTTATTCTCTTGGTGCCCCAGTAAACTCTTAAGACTAAAGTCTCAGAACAGTCTCAGATTTACATTGGTAGAGGGTATTTCTTTTTTAAGGGATTCTTATACCAAGGAAATGACAAGTCAAGACCAAAATAAAAACAAAACAAAACAAACCCCAAACATTGCTTTATTATATGTTGATGTTGACTCATCATATTGATAGGTATATGCCATTGGGACAAACTAACTGTACTCCTACCATAATATAATAGTAAACTCATAGTAAACTGGATGGAGGTTGAGGAAGGCCTTCAAGCACTTTGGGACAAATGTGGATGGACTGGGATTTGCATCACTGAAGAAAATACCCACAGATAATTGAAGTGCTTATTTTTTTTAAAGCCATCAAATTTTTAGCAGTTTAATTCCTATACATAGGAGAAGGCTATAAGAAAACTTCCCTTAGGAAAATTTAGGGTTCTAAACTCTTGATGCAGAGGGATTGAACTGTTTTTTTTTTAAATTATGCCTAACATAAGGTAGATGGAATCAAGTAAAACTGTACCAATAAAGAGTCTTCCTAATTATAAAACTAGGGCATTCTGTTTTTCTGCAGATGTTTAGACACTTCAGGTCACCTCTGGAGCAAAGCCATAAAACTATTAAGACTTTATGAAGAGATAATCTTACAACACTTTATAGAGTTTATAAAGACTATAATACTTTATAAAGAGATAATTACCTTAAAATTTATGAAACTAGTGTCCAAATATATTTCTTAAGATATGAACATGGGGACTTGAACTCAATCCAGAGAACCTCTCTCACTGATATACAAGTGAATGAATGCTCCAAGTTTCCCTTTTCCCTTTCCTAAAATAACTTTACTAATAAACAGTTGTCTATTGGGAAAGCTATAATTAGAATGGTATTAAAAATATATGTCTAGTTATGTGATTTGTAAAGAGTTTTGTTATATAAAATTAAAAACGTTTCTAAAAGAACACCAACCAACCCCCCCTTTTAAACTGCTAGTTACTAGATCAAAAAGCATAACTTTTTAAGAAATGTAAAGTAAGAGCCTTCTTATCTGAGAAAACATTTATGAAGAAGCCAAAATATCCTAAGTTTTTAAGGTTTTAAAATAAGAAAATTTTTCTAGAAGCCATGTGAATCCATAAAGGGCTGAAACTGCCATATAATTTTGTTATAATTCAGTGTATTTTGTGTAAATCCCCCCTTATTTTGCAGTGCTCAAGGTCTTTTGGCATTTAAAAAAAAAAAGGCATCTTGGGAAATTCAATTCGATAAACATTAAATACCCAGTGTGTACAAAATCTGGAGCTAGGTGCTGAACTAAATAAGTTCTGATAAGGCATTATCCTTAATCTGTTTTATATATGCAGGAAGAGGAAGAAATTTAACTTTATTATATGGACCGAATTTTTCAAGGAAAAAAAAGTCATTGTCTTGTGTCCCATGAAGTGCCTTTCCCATTAATAAAAGAACGAGTACAGAAATATAATATATTGTATAGATGTTAGATCCTAAGTCAAGTTCAGATGGTACCCTTCACAGGAAAAGTAAGTTTAGAGGAGTTGGCTAGGGAAGGAAGATTAAATTACGTTTGAGACATGATGGCCTTGAGATAACCATATAACCAGATAGCACTGTCCAAAGATTTGAGTCATTTGTATCTGGATGAGAGTTGAACCCAAGAGAGCTGATTAGATCAATGAAATGGTGTCAAACTCAAAGAGAAACTTCAGTTCACTAAACAAATGGTACATAAGGATCCCCTCTGGCTACATATTAAGAAAACCACATACACACATTATCTATGTTTTATTGCATTTTTGTTTATTTTGTTAAATATTTCCCAAATACATTGTAATCTGGATCCCCTTATTTGACACTTTTGATCTGAAGGGCTCTGGAAGACATCCTTAGTTATGAGAAAGGAGGTGGATGATAAAAATAAAGGCACCTGCCACTGTACATGAGTATTAGATACATATGTAGATATTTCTGAAAAGGTGGGGGGAAGTAATTTTGAAAATTGAATATTTTGAACTTACTACAGTTTATTATTTAAAGGACTTAGCACAGTACAGCAGAAAGGGCACTGGATTTGGTTGATGTTGGAGGACCTAGATTTGAATCCTGGTTCTCCCATTTATTGCTTATGTTACTTTGGGCAAGTCACTTGATCTTGGTTTCCTTATCTGTAAAATGAGAGAATTAGATTAAATGACTTCTAAAGTTCCTTCCAGCTCTAAATCTATGATCCTATTACAATGCCTGTATGACTTGGGGCAAGTCAGGAGATTTTCTTGGCCTCAGCTTTCTCAGCTGTAAAATGCAGCAATTGGACCAGATGATTTCTGAGATTCCTTCCTGCTCTAGAGACTATGATATTTGCCCTAAGTGTGGCACATTTTCTCCAGAACCCATCTTCTCAACTTATATCAGTCTGTAGCAAGGACTGCAGTCGACTTTGAAGTTTTCGAGAACAAAGAAGTGAGCAATTCACAAGATTCCTCCAAGTCATCGCCTAAACGTTCCCATGGTAACTCTGGGCATCTGACAGCCCTGTTTCAGGAAGTACGACGAGGTCTATTGGTTAGGGAGCATCCTCTTTCCCAGCCCTAAAACCCCTCTCCGATAAGGCTAGGGGAGCTAAGTCATCCTCAAGCATGCGGAATAACAACAATAAAAGAGCTCGAGGAAAGTTTACTTTGGAAACGATTAAGAAATCTCTGCCCTTAAGCCTGGAAGGCCATGGGAATGAAGTCCTATCGCGTGGTCCCGGGGAAAGGAACGGGGACCCAGAGCGCGGTTCGGCTCCGACACCAGGAGTCGGTCCCTTGAGGCTGGGACCCGATGCGAGTGAAGGGCCGCCCCTACCTTGAGGATCTCCTGGCCCCGCACGGCTAGCTCCACATGCCGACTCTGCAGGCCGCACTGGATCTCTTGAGCACGAGTGCCCGGTGGCACCTGGACCTCGATAAACACCTCCTCTAGGGTCTGGTACCATTGGCCCCAGGGCGTCTCACAAGGAACCACCCCACTTCGCTCCTCAAACGGGGCAGACATGCTTCACTCGGATTCCAATGATCCTCTCAGTGCCAACCAAGATTCCTTCTGGGCAGGCGCAGAAGCGTCTCTGCCCATCTTGCCCATAGGTTAGGGCGCACGCGCACAGCTCTGTGACGTTCGGGCGGAAACGAGTTTTTTCACCGGAGTGACCATCTTGGTACTGGCAGCGCTGTAAGTGAAAGAACTAATATTCTGAAGTGATCTAGGAGGGAAATTTGCACAAAAGGAACAAATAAGGGAAATATTAGGAAAAGGAATGTCTGAGAGATGGGAAAGTCAAGCGAAATTCATTACGCTTTCAGATAATCAGTTGAAATCAGAATCGATCAAAAATCATTGTTTGAAATGCGCTTGCGCACATCCCATCCGCGCCCTTAGCGCCAGAAGCTATTCCGGAAATGGCGATTACTTGCCCTCCTATTGGCTGAGTTCCTCAAACGTCGAACCTTGCGTGCTTGCCCACCTAATTGGTTGGCTGGAGAGCTATATGCGCATGCTCCGAAATGCTTCCTACAAGGATTGGTGCAGTAGAAAGAGCCGACGTTCCAATTGGCTTCTCTTGAGAAGGGAGGGGACCGTGCAGAGCTTTTCGAATTCAATTGAAAGGGTTGCGGTTGCTGGGATCTCTGGTGTTTCTGGAGGCTACGTGTGGTCGTTGACATGGCCTTCCCCAAGGCCCCGCTTAAACGCTTCAATGACCCTTCTGGTGAGTATAGAGGAGAGCCTGAGAAATCTTCCAGTGGGGAAGCTTCTAATGACTAATTTGGAGTCGGAGGCCAGGGGTGTTTCTCTTTTTCTCATGACCCAGATCTGCCGCCTTCTTTCATCAGAATCTAAGCCTGGGGAGGTAGTGATGAGAAGTGGGTGGTGAAAGTGGGACCCAGAGGCCCTGACTTTCTTCTAGGTTTATACTACTTGGTAAGAGTTTATTAAGCGAGAACAAGTAGAGAGTTATTCTTAGCTTTCAATGTGTACCAGCGGTTGTGAGGCTTGGGTATTAAAATTAACTATACTTTTCTTCTTGTCTCTCAAAGTCATTTTCCACGTCCGAGTTTCAGTTTATTCATGTGTAGCCAGAGATTCTTGACTCTGTGTGTGTATGTGTATGTATATGTGTATACATATACATATACATGCATGTGCATGATGCACTCCTTTGGCACTCTGATGAAGCCTATGGACCCCTTCCCAGAATAATGTTTTTAAATATATGAATTAAAATATGTAGTGTTACAAAGGAAACAAATTGAAATATAGATATCAATTTCCCCCAATATTTAAACATTTTTGTTTATAATTTTGAATTCCAAATTCTATTTCCCTCCCCTCCTCCCTGCTGAGACAGTAAGCAATCAGATGTAGGTTACACATGTGCAGTTATGTAAAGCATTTCCATATTAGTCATTTTGTATAAAAAGACTCCAATAAAAGAAAAAAAATGAAAGAAAGTGAAAAATATCGTGTGTCAGTCTATATTCAATCAACATCAGTTCTTTCTTCCGAGGTAGTGTGCTTCATCCCTTTGGGATTGTCTTGGATCATTGTATTGCTGAAAATAGCTGTCATTTACAATTCTTCATTGAACAATATTGCTGTTACTGTCTACTGTAGTTTCCTGGTTCTTTTCACTTCACAATGTATCAGTTCATGTAAGTCCAGGTTTTTCTGAAATCATTCTGCTTGTCATTTCTTATAGCACATTAATATTCCATTACAATCATATACCACAGCTTGTTTAGCCATTCCCCAGTTGATAGGTATCCCTTTGATTTCCAATTCTTAGCCACCACAGAAATAGCTGCTATAAATATTTTTATACAAATAGGTCCTTTTCTCTTTTTGTGGATGTCTTTGGGATATAGACGTAGCAGTGGTATTGCTGGATCAATGGGTATGCATAATTTTATAAAAACAATTTTACAAAAACCACTGGATCTCAGGTTAAGAACTGGGCTAGTCTATCTTTAAAGATTACTTTGATCTTGTAAATCTAGCAACACCTTGCTGTGTCTATAGGAATCTGAAAGGTTACTCCAAAGAAGGATTTGATTTGTTCTTAATGTTTATGAGTGTGGAATTTTGAGACGTAAATTTCAGCGGGAAGTAAAGAGAAAAAAAAAGTCAGAGCTTGCCCAAAGTGGAATGTTTCAAGAAGTAGGCCTTGAAACTAGGTGGCAAAGTGTTTAGAGTTGGTATTAGTTTAGAGTCAGGAAGTCCTTCAAATAGCTGCTCAGCCACTTACTAGCTATATGACCCTAGGCAAATCACTTAACCTCTTTCTGCCTCAGTTTCTTCATCTTTAAAATAGGACTAATAATAGCACCAACATCAGAGGGTTGTTGTAAAGATAAAATCAGATAATGTAAAGAGTTTTGCAAACCCTAAACTGCTGTTTCAGTTTCCTGGTGTGTTGTGGCAGGCACCATCTCAAAGAATTCAGAGTCAGACCACCTCTAATCCAAGTATATGCATTTATTGAGGATTGACACCCCTCAGAAGCAGGCTAGGTTGAGAGAACTTCAGACAAAGCAAGATGTATCTTTATAGGATAAAGATGCAATTACATAACAGAAATAATGAATATTTACAGGAGGGAGTTGTTAAGGAATTAGGCAATAGGGAAGGTTTGTTTCTGGGTTCAGTGGCCGGATATCCTGGTCATGCTGCCCTCTGATTGGCCAGTCCTTATCTTGGGCTAAATAGATGATGTGATTGTGGTTGATTACAAGAACACACCTGTTCAAATATGTGAATTGGATCTAGAGGCAATGGCTGTATTGAGTCTGGGGGCCTATGGTGTGGTTAAAGCCAGATTGTATGGTTAAATCAGGACATGCCTGCTGTTCTGTGGGGCCCATAAGGAAGTTAGAATATTGGGGCTAGGGGCAGCTTTAGGTACCATTATTATAGATGGGTACTTCCTCACTGAAGGTCTTTAAGCAGAGGCTGGAAGATCATTTGTCAGGGGTGTTATAAATATATTTATATATTACAAATATTATAAATATAAAAGATTCCTTTTCAGGTATAAAGTGTAGTGGATGACCTTTGAAGTCCCTTCCAACTCTGAGATCTTAGGGATTCTCTGATGTTCTCACAAACTGCCTTTTTTCAACTCTTCCTTAGAGAGGATTGTAGTTTTTCCCTTTGCTTGTCATCTCACTAAATGAAGATAACCTCAGTGTGAAAAAAATCACTTAATATAAGATGCATATTTTATTTGTTTATATTTAATGACTTTTCCTTAATAGATCTGTCTGAGGAAGTGTTGTTTTTCTTATAGCTATGATTCTTATGTTAGAGATGCCTGAGGCCCAAAGGACTATGTGAGCTTACTGGTGTCACATTTCTTTTGGTTTAAGTCTTCATCTACCAACTCCCTCACTTGTAAGCATATTTGCCACGAACTAAAACCGACAGCTATGGGTCTTTTGCAACAAGAAAATTTTAGTAATCTGAAGTCCCACAGCAAGTATTCTCTAATGTATTCCATAAAGGTGTTTCTGTTTCAAGGAGGACTTGTGTTCCTCAGTCTTGAATAAAATAATTCTCTGTTTTTCTCAGTACCAACAAACAGCTGGTATTTTTTTTTTACACGAAGGGAAACAAGTGAGCAGCTTCATTTACAAATGCCATTTTTGCTACAAATCATCTATTCATTTTCCATATCTTATCCTATAAATATGATGAATAAATAAAACATGGATGTTTGATTTTTGTTATTTCTAGGCTGTGCACCATCTCCAGGAGCTTATGACATCAAAACTTCAGAAATACCAAAAGGACCTGTATCATTTGAGAAATCACAACGATTTAGACGTGGTCAGGGTAATAATACCTTCCAAAATGAAAGGGACAAGTTACATACTTTCATGCATTTTTTTCGTATTTTCCAATCTTTCTCAGTTGTTAATGGGTTTTTTTCCCCCCTTCTAAAATTATTTTGTATTTGCTTATCTGTGTACAAGTTGTTTTTCTTTTAGTAGAATTTAAAGTCTTTGAGGATGGCAGATGTTGCCTTTTTGCATTTGCATCCCCAGTCCCTAGGTGGAATAATAACCTAAAGTTTTAAAATTTGGAAACTATTTATATTTTAGAGAGATGTCCGAGTATGTCTGAAAACTAGACATTGAAGCTGCAGGCAGTTCTTATGTACAAAATTGAGTGAATTATGAAGGCTTAGAGTGCTCTGTGTTTGACATATTTTATGAATGTAATTAAGTACTAAAACTAGCCTGTAGTCTAACCAGCATATGAATGCAGATGAAATGATTTTACCTTCTCATAGTCGCCCTTTTCCCTGACTCTTTCATTCCTAAAAGATTTAGTCAGGATACAATTAGGAAATATAAATAAGAAGAAAAGATAAAATTTTGACTAATGATTTTGAATTTTTATTCTGGATCAAAAAGATTAAATTAGGCTGCTACTTTGTATTTACATCTTAAATCTAGTATAAATACATAATATTTAAAATATTTAGAATCCCCTACTGTTAAGAAATGCATTACCTCTATTTACATTTAAACTTTAATTTTTACGGCAGCTTCTATGGAAAATCAACAAGGTCTTAACAATAACAAAGATAGGCTTACATCCACAACTTCGAAAAATCTGAAACCTTTGAGATTAAAGGTAAGAAACTTTATATGATAGATATAAACCAAATAAATAATGAAAGATTATCATTGACTGACTGAAGTAGCCTGTGAATGCATGATTAAATTCAAGAAAACAGTGAGAAATCTATTCCAGTATCTTTCTTTTTCTTTCTTTCTTTTTTTTTTTGGTAAAGGCATTTTGTAAGTTCATAAAATGATTTTCTGTTTAAGGCCATCACTACAAGTTCTGTTCTAGCTCAGGTCACATGTATGTTGTTAAAATGTACTTATTAATTCCAAATGGTCTCAGTCTTCAGTTGTTTCCATGAACTGATTGAGATTTCACAATTCTTGTTGTTGCTTTAAAATTTGTGGGGTGGTGGGAACAATATTTGTATTCTAACACTATAGTTATTAGTGCCTGTGTGTGTTTGGATCTATGTACACATATGTGTATCTGATATGGGGAGGAGGAATAGGTGATATGTCCGTAGAAGGAACAGGATCTAGTTTAAAGCATATCGTGAAAGTCTAATCTTCTGTTTATCACTAATGAGGTGTAAGGAATAGATGATGCTTAATGGAACTTCTGTAGTTATTTGTATATGCAAGATGTTGAGCTCTTATTGAAGAACACAGTATGACAGTGGAAAGAGTGCTGGACTTTGAGTCATTTTCAGATCCTGCCTCATCGACTTGGTATTGATGGTTGTGGGGATGGCAGCCCTCTTCTTTCAAGATTGCTCCTGGGGAAGATGATTATAGGGTTAAGCTGGAAGAAGAACTGGTAGCCTGGGGGATATGGCAATTCTAGGGCATTTGGTGTGAACGCCTTCCACCATTTCCATGGAAGTCTTAAGGGAAGTGGAGGTGGTTTGGCCCACCTGCCATATAATGCCCCCTTATAATCCTCAGCATGTCTTGCTGCTTCATTTAGGTTAGCTTCTCTGTCCTTGTGGTAGCATTTGATGGTAGCCTCCTTTCTATGGATGTTGCTCCTTTGGATTATAGGAACATTGATACAAAAGGCTACAGCGTATAAAAACTAATTTAAAGAATCTCTAGTTCCTGGAATATATTTTGTAAAAGCAAAGAAAGTGTTGATCAATATTTCAGACTGAACCTACTACTTGACTAAAGACTAGTATTTACCATCTTAATGCAAATACTACTAAGAGCTGTAATAGGTTAAGGTTCCAGTGCCTTAAGGAGTGTCTTTTGTAAAATTTAAAAGGTTATTGGTAATAGAGAAAGCAAGTCTTGATACCTTTTTTTCCATTTCTGGACAGGTAACCTAGGAACAATTATGATTGGGTAAAATATTAGGAATCAATGTTGTCTTTTACCTTAATTTAGAGTAGAAAAAAGGACCTTTGGTTCATGCTTGAGTTGTTTTACATTCTGTTCTTGTCCTTCTATAGATTGACCTTAATTTAGTCTTTTTGGATACTAAAGTTCAAATTTATTGTTTCTTGATATAATTTTTTTTATTTAATGGCAGATTCTATCTCATTCTCAAAATGTGTTACCACCCTGAGTTTTCTAATTAGGAACATCCTTTATTCATAGGGTTCTACTTGGTTCCTTCTACTTTATGTTAGTCTTGATTTTAGAAAACAGATTTCAATCCCTCTGCACCAAAAGTTTAAAACCCTGAATTTTCCTATAGAAATCCACTTGTAGGCTCTCTAGGTATAGGAGAATGTTCACCTCCAGCACAAACTTGTTCTTTGAATACTCTTCTGGCTCTCATTTATTGTCTTTCTTTCAGTGTCATCCTCAAATATCCTGAGAAATACTTTGCTTAATTGGGGTTCTCACCAAATTGCACTGTTGCTTCTCACTATTTTGTGAAGTGATATTGCCCATTATGTTCTAACTTCTGATTTTACAATGAATTATTTTTCATCTCCATTCAGATTTATATTTTTATTTAAACATTTATATTATGTTGATTTTTGATTTTACAAGTCAGTGATCTGATCAATTCAAGTTGATTCAGGAATGATTCGTAATAGTAATGAGTCTTTTCCTGTATGTGAAAATCAATGTCATTACTTTGTGTTATTTGTTACTCACAATGTCCAGTGCAATCTATTTTTCCCCCACATTCATTCTGTATTCCTGAACCATATTTTCCAGTGCATTGGTTTTTTTTTTTTTGGCCATAGACCTTTGCATTGAAGACACCCATTATCAAGTATATATTGATCGAATTTGTTATTTGTTGAAATCTTCTACCTCTTCATACTTTGTAAAACATGTAGCCACATAAACTGCAACTGTTTTCATGGTAGTATTTTTATAAATATTTATCATGATCACTTAAATGCAAGATAACCAAATGCACATGAAATTATGTTTGGACATCTGATGAAACCAACTCTACCAACTTCTTTACTTGCCACTCCAAGGTGAATCTGTGAACCATCCTTTCATTTAGCTGCAACTGTATCTTCTGGTTTCACTTACGGCAAAAAAGTCAAGATTGAGAGGATTCCATTCCTCCAGGAATGTATCTATTCACTGATTATTGCACATAAATCTTACATTTAGAATACCAACAGCTAAACTGTTATGAAAAGTCTCCAAACAGTATAATTCTTAGCTTCTCAGTCTTCTATTCATCCCCTGGCACTGCTGAAATTAAAAGGGGCAGCGCAGGACTTAAGGTCACTTTGAAGTTTTCTTTTTTTTCTTGGGCTGGCAGCACGGAACTAAAGGTCATTTTGAAGTTTTCTTTTTTTCTTGGGTTGTGATGACCAAAGAATTCATTACCTGGCCAGCCTCCTGGTGATCGAGCTGTAGTGCTACTCCTCAGAATGCAGGCACAGGCTGTCACTGACATCCTCTGCAAAGTCCTGTGAAAGCTTGTGCTTCTATAGCTTTGCTGACACAACTTTGAAGAACCCAGGTTTACCTCTGTCATGGTGGAGCACAATGAGTTCTATAGGTACAAAATAAGTCTGTAAAGTCAATTTCTCAAAGATTTTTAGCTTCATAAATTATGCTTACTATTTATTGTATCTTTTGATATTTTAATAGACAGAATCTCAAAGGTATATTAAAGAGGTGAAAAAGCTGAAGATGCAGGAGAAAGAGGTAAGAAAAATGTTTTCAGTACTTTAAATGTAAAACAAAGCCTATTTTAAAAATAGATTTTTATTAATATCTTTTGCTTTTTACATTGCCTGGATTTCCTCCTATATTCTTTCCCTTCCCATTCCAGAAGAAGACTGGAAAGGAGTGTATGGAGAGGGCAGGGTGGAAACAAGTTATGAAGGGCTTTGAATACCAAATAAAGGATTTTATCTTTGATCCTGGAGGAGCCATTGGAGTTTATTGGGGAGTGGGGGGAGGGAGAAGATGAGAAGAGAGACCTGGTCAGAAATGCACTTTAGGAAGATCACTTTGACATCTGAGTAGAGGATAGAGTTGGGTACAGAGAGACTTGTGTTAGGGGAACATCAGGCTATTGCAATAGGCCAGGCATGAGGTGATGAAGACCTGCACCAGGGTGGTAGCAGTGTCAGAGGAAAGAAGGGAGTGTTTTAGAAAGATGTTACAAAGGTAAAATCAGCAGGTTTTGACAATAGTGTCTATGAGGCAGGTGAGAGAGAGAGTGAGGAATAGAGGATGACACCTGGGTTGTGAGCCTGGGTGATTGGGTGGATGGTGGTATCCTCAACAGTCATAGGGAAATTGAGAAGAGTGGAGGACTTGAGGGAGAAAGTTAACAACTTCATTTTTGTACATGCTGAGTGTCTATGGGATATCCAGTTTAGATATCCAGTAGGCAGTTGGAAGTGTGAGACTGAAGGTCAGCACAAGAGGTTAGGGCTGGATAAGTAGACTTATGAATCAGCAGGAGAGAGAGAGAGAGAGATGGTAATTGAATCCAAGTGAAAAAAGCCCATGACAGAACTCTTTGGATCACTTAAGATTAGTGGGCATCACCTGGATGAAAATCTAACAAAGGAAACTGAGGAGTGGTCAGATAGGTAGAAGGAAAACCAGGAAAGAGTGTCACAAACACCTACAAGAAAATATCAAGGAGAAGAGGGTGATTGAAGCTACAAAGAGGTCAAGAAGGTTGAAGACTGGGAAAAGACCATTAGATTTGACAGTTAAGAGATCATCGGTAATTTTGGAGAGAGCAGTTTTAGTTGAATTATGAGGTCAGAAGCCAAACTGCATATAGAATTAAGGAGAGAGTGAGAGGGAAGGAGGTAGAGGTACCTACTATAGATAACCTTCGCAAGGAATTCAGCCACAAAAGGGAAGAGAGATATGAGGTAATAGTGGGAGGAGTGGTTCAAATAAGGTTTTTTTTTGAGGATAGGGGAGACACGAAGATGTTTATAGGTAGTAGGGAAGTAGCTAGTAGATAGGGAGAGATTGAAGATTAGGGAGAGAGTGGGAATGATAGAGTGGGCAATCTATTGGAGAATATGGAATGGAGCATCATGTAGAAGTCTTTGCCTGAACAAGAAGGACTGCATCACATTAGACAGGGTTTATAACTGGAAAGGGCTTCTGTATTGTATAAGATATAGGGACTGTTTGTTTCTTTATATCTCTAGCTATTAACACAATATCTTTTCCGTAATAACTACTGAGGGGGCAGCTAGGTGGCGCAGTGGATAGAGCACCGGCCCTGAAGTCAGGAGGACTTAAGTTCAAATCTGGTCTCAGACCAAACACTTGACCCTTACTAGCAGTGTGACCTTGGGCAAGTCACTTACCCCAACTGCCTATGCAAAAAAAAAACCTACATAATAGCTACTCAGTAAATGTTTATGATGTAGCTATTGTTTCAGTGACTACTGATAAAATACCATATATACTTAAGAAGTTGACATCAATGACAGTCCTAAAGTTAAAGAAAATAATTTTCATGAGATGCATTGATTCAAAAATACTTTTGTGGGCTATTAGGTGTTTGAAAGCTTTATGGTTGAACTGTAGAATAACAGCATAGCAATTATTAGTGTGAGAGCTTTTTGTATGATCTTATATGTAAGAATATTTTTTAAGGACATTGGAGAAGGTAGTGTCGTATAATAAAAAATAAAACCCTGAATTAGACACTGGAACTCCTGAGTTCCAATTCCGTTTGAGCTACTAAATATCTGTATGACCTTGAAGTTATTTCTGTTCTGGTAGTATTTACTTAAAATTATCTCTTAAGATCCCTTCCAGCCATAACAGTCTACGTACATAAATATGTGGGTATTGAAACTGCTTAATTGCATCCAGAAGTGAGACCTTGAATTCTGATAAATTCTCCTGTAAGATTACTTTAATTGTTAAGTCCTATTGGGGGGAAAAATGTTGATTCCAATTTGTTCAAATTGCTGAAAATAACTTTGTAATAGGTAAGACATATCTAAAAAGAAAATATGTGTGGGAAGTTAGTACTAGTTGATTGAAATAGGTAGAATTTAGATTATATTGGTATATGAAATTCAGTTTATGTACACTGTATATATGGAACTTATTTTTCAGTCATTTGATTCTAGATACGTACCCTAGTGCAAGAACGTGCAATACAGGATAAACATCTTCAAGATTTGGAAGCAGAGTTTGAGAAGATGGAAGCAAAGCTAAACATAGCAGTCAGAGAGAAAACATCTCTCTCAGCAAATATTGCATCTTTAGAGAAGCAGCTTATTGAATTAACTAGAGCTAATGAACTACTAAAAGCAAAGGTATTTAGGCCTTACATTTAAGTTCAAATTTTTTTTTTGTCTGTCAGCAATTTTAGTTGCAAAATCTTAGTTACTAAGGTTAGTCAAGTATAAAAACTGCTCTAGTAGTATTCACTTTTCTTAATTTTATTTGTTTAAAAAATAGAGATTTTAAATAATTTTATTGGATATTTGCATTAGCTTAGGAATATCCATGCTTTACAAATGAAAAATGTATTTATGTACCTTGGAAGATTTGGGTTTTATAAATGTTAGAAATTTTTTTTTTTTAATGGTTACACTGGCACTTGTATTGTAACCTGTAAGACACATTGTGGCAACCATTATTCAGTAGTTCCTTCCTCTAAAACTCACTTCCCCCAACTTAAATAAGGATGACTATGAAGACTGTAAGGATTTCGGATCAAAACATAACTGGTCTGTTTGTTGAGCAGCTGCTATGTGAAAAACATTCCTAGGTAGGCAATGTGCTTTGAAATTAATACACATGCAGAATTTTAGAGTTTCATGATGAATTTTTAGCATTATAATTTATATCTTAATTTTGTTTTTTTTCTTTTTAAGTAGGTAATGCTGTTTATTTCTTAAGCGTGCATAAATAATTATATGATAATTTTAATTTATATAGCACTTTAAGGTTTACAGATTGTTTTTCATATGTTAATTCATTAGGTCCTCACAATAACTCTGTCAGTTAAGTGCTATAATTATCTTCATTTTACATGTAAGGAAACTGAGACACATCGATGTTAAGTGATTGGCCCAGGGTTATACAGTTAATAAGTGTCTGAGGCAGGATGTGAACTGAGGTCTTCTGGACTTCAGGTCTCCCACTCTATTCATTGTCACCTATCTACCTCACTATCATAATAGTTCCTTGCTTAATGTATGCATACATTTTTACTTCAAACAGTTTTGTTCTGGGATATATCAGTCTTTTTTGGTCAGTGTCCCAGGTGCCTTTCTTCAGCTTGGGAGACCTTCCCAGGAGAGAGTAGCATGGTAGTCAGGTAACTTCCTTCATTCCCTGGCTGTTCTTAAACTTAAGGGAAATTTAAAAGCAACACCTCCTGGAGCAGAGAGACACTGATAAGTACAACCTCCTTATTTTACAGATGAGGAAACTAAGGCCCAAAGTGCCTAAATGAATGGTCCAACTTCACCAGACTGGTTAGGGACAGAGCTGGATGGTGGACCCAGGTCTACATCTTTAGTTCCTTTCTACTTTACAAGACTTTGACAAAAAATTACATTTCTTCCCTCTCCTTTTCTCCTTCTGAGTGTGTTACTAATTAAAGTATTTATTCCCTCTTCTTACTGTGAAATTTTAAAAATATTTTTCTTTTTAAAAAGTTACTGATTGATTTTTTTTCCCCTTCTGCTACTGATTCCACATGGGCCAATGTGCGAAAAGAAGGAGAATTACCTATTTATGACTTCAAGAGACAATTATAGTTACAGGGATCATATGCAATCACTGAGTAGGTTTGATACCAAAAAGCAATTTAAGGAGTTTACTTAACTGATTTCTGAAAAGCTTCATTCATGTTTTAATAATTTTGAAAACTGTTGACACAGTCAATAAATCCTTTCCTATGAAAATGCTTATAGATAGAAGGTAAAGATTTGGATTAGAGCTCTCTTCTGTTTGGATTTATAAGTAAAATATTTATATCCCAGGTTTGTATAACATAATCTCTGATTAGCTGGAACCAAGCAAAAGCCATCTACAAGAAAGTCACTTTAGTTTGTCTACATGTCTTAGAATCCTTATTTTCTATATTAGGATTTGCAAATTAGAAGTTGGATTTTAGGTGCCCTAAGAGGGTTATTGTACCTATAAAGAAGAATTCTGAGAATTTCCTAAAATCATCTTTTATTGAATAATCTAAATACAACTTCACTAAACCTTGATTCAGGTTGGCTTTTCTTGTTACATACATGTTTAGAGCTGAAGTGGGTATTTTGAATCGATTATGATTTAAGGAGGCAAATAGGTCTGCTTTGGATTTTAAAAGGAAGAATCCATAACACAGGGTTAGCTATTGCCTAAGCAGCCTCTAAACAACATATTGACATGTTTAGTAGTACATGTGACAAACTAAAGAAAGGATGAGACAGTCTATGTAGTCAGTAATGGAGTATTGTCAACTGTTTTGACATTTGTAACATCAGCTTACTTGTCCCTATTGCAGTATATTGGAGAAATATCAACCCTGACCGTAGTTAGGTGAACAAGAAACTGCCATGTAATATTTAATAATTATTTGTAGCTAAAATACTTCTGAATTTTAAATTGTTTTTAGTTTTCTGAAGATGGTAACCAGAAGAAAATGAGTCATTTAAGCTTAGAGTTAATGAAACTGAAGAATAAGATTGAAGCAAAGAAGAAGGTGAGCATTGTCTTCAGGTTTGTCCTGTTAAGACCATAAGAGCTTTTTCCTATCACAAACTGTTATTTTATTGTTTAGAATGTTGTTCATAAACAAGAAGGGATGGAAATCAAACTACAAATGGCACAAAAGAACCTTCGTGATTCTCAAGGAAACTTGGCACAACTTGAGGAAAAACTGTAAGTTGATAAAACAGAATCTAAAGGCTTTGTCTCAAATGGTTGGATAATGTGCCTGTCTAGCAATCAGCAAAATTAATTTAAATGAAAGCCTCCATTGGACTGTTTTTCACTATTTCTCTAAATGTTGACGGGACTGTTGTCAGTATTTCCCAGACTCACTACTTTCCACTGGAATACTTTTCCACTCTATTGATTTGTAAACTTATAGATGGAATGGTTTCACTAATGTTAAGATCTATCTAGAAAGTTCTGATTTTTCTGGAGCCATGTTTGATGACCTTATGAATAGCAGTTCTGACCCTTATAGCTGCATAACTTCCTTAGAGGTTTTGAATTCTTCTAGAAGTGTTTAAACTGTTCAAAAGGTTATTCATTGGAGATCATAGCCTGACAATTTATGTAATTTTAGAAAATCTTTAATTTAAAGCAAAACTTTACCTTGGCCATAATTTTTATTCAGACTGTATTAAAATAGTGTGTATCCCACTATTTTTTGTAGTGTTACTACAGAAAAAGAAACGATTGAAGAAAAATTAGAAATAGAAAATCTCTTGGAATATATTACAGAAGTCAGGTAATGTGAATGTCTTCTCAAGTGTTTCTTATTTGGGAAAATATGAAACATAACATCTAATGAGACTTATATTTCTTCTAAATTTGTTTTAATGAAGCTCTACATCAGATCAAGTGGAGAAATATAAATTGGATATTGTCCAATTGGAAGAGACTTTGAATCAGAAGAATCAAGAGATTTTGATCCTTAAGCAGTCTCTGGATGAAAACGTGGATGTATTATCTAAAAAAATTAAAGACCTGAACAATAGATGTCAGATTCTTGAAAAGCAAAAAGGTACAATTACTTATTCACAGAAATGATAATTTAAAATTATCCAAAAAAAAAAAGAAAGGAAGGAAGGAAAAAAATAGTACATAAAGCTGCAATACTACATAAAATAACTACATAATGCTGAATGATCAATGAAGTAAAATAAAAAAATACAATGAAGTAAAATCTTACAGGTTCTTTTTTGAAATCTTTAAGCCTCTAATAATGTTAATTTTCTGGTGGTAATAATAACATAAATGGCTTGAATGTGATTCATTAAAACTGCTTAAAAACATAATTCTTGATTTTCTGATGGGTGATAAGTAAAAAACTAGATTTTTAGTCTATTAATTATAGCATTTTTCAAGCCCATGAAATGTTATAATTATTCTTATATATATAAGTATATATATAATATATACACATGCATACTATATATACTCATACTATATATAACTATATAACATTACTACAATGTAGTAATGTATTACTAATTGAATTTAACTTTTTCTAACTTTGGTAATTTATTCTTGGCATTAATATCTGTAGGGGGACCCCTTTCAGTATTTTAAAGAGGTTTTTTTAAAAAAAAACTTCCTGTTAAGAATTTTAATGTATAATATGATAATTGTCAATATTAAGTAATTTTTTTCCAGGGAATTTTTTCCCAGAACATTTTGTCATTCTAATTAATACTAGAGTTGCATTTCTTTTCAATCATTGAATTATTCAGACTTTTTTACTTCTCCCCCATTTAGTCTGAACCAGTAAAAATTTACTATGATAATTGTTTCTGAAGACAAATGAATGTATAATGTAGTTCATGAAGAAACAGGTCAGATAATTCGGATATTTAAAGCAGTTGAATTTTTAAAAAACAAACACAAATATATTTAAACAGTAAAGAGAGATCAATGGACTATTAATGTGAGACTGTATTCGTTCAAGTATAATGCTTTATATAGTTATAATGTTTTAGAGATGTCTTTTTGTAGGGGAATTTGTCATGCAAGACAAAGAACGGGAACAAAATCTCAGTGCTGAGATACTAAGCTTGAAAGAAAGATTAACTCTAGAAAAACAAGAAAATGAAAAGCTGGAACAAAGGCAGACAGAAACTGATTTACGTCTGCAACAAGAGCAGGTAAGCACTTACTTGTTCTCCAAGATGAAGGAATATTGCTGAATTAATTCTTAATGTGTTTATGTTGCTTGATTCTACCTTGATATGCATCTCTCAGTTTTGGTTTACTAATATATAAGAATAATTTGAGATGATGTTGTTTGGTCATAGGAATTATCTTCTAGCCTTAATCAGAAGCTTTGTCTATTTCAAGAAGAGTTAATTAATGAGAAAAATCTTTTTCAAGAAGAATTAAAAGAAGCATTGAGTGAGTTAGATAAATTACAACAAAAGGATGAGCAGGCTAAAAGACTGGTGAAGCAGCTGGAACAAGAGAATATATCCAGAGCTAGAGAGCTCCAACTCTTAGAAGAAAAGCTTAAAGGGTTTGTAGAGTCTTTAGTTTAATTTTAAAGTTGATAAAAATAAAATAAATATTAATTCTATGTCTTGATTCTTTTGCTTTACAAATTTTAACTGTGATCTCTTGAGAAAGAGGCAAGTTCTAAGGTTATTTGGTTTCTTGAATAATTTGTATAGAAAGAACACAGGCCTGAGAGTTGGAATACCTGAGCTCTAGTCCCATTTCTGCTGCCATCTAGCCTAGGCATCTCAAATCACTTGACCTAACTGGGCTGAAGTTTCTCCCTCTGTAAAATGAGAAGCTTGGACTAACTGATTTCTAAGGTGTCTTCTGGTTCTATAAGTATCAAATTGATGGGAGGATCAGGTGATAGGTTCTCAATTCTATTTTTAATTTCTTTGTTTTCTTACATTTTTCGAACACATTTTGTAATTGAAATTTCTTCTACTGTAATTTTATTTTAGCTCTGCCTAGTTTGCCAAATGATTTTTGGTTAAATAGCGAGTACATTTTCGAACCTAAAAACTTTATCTTTTTTGTATTGTCCATTCATAGTATTTTAAGAAGTATGTGAAACTTTTTCAAAACGCAGATTTTTAAAAGTTTTTCATTTTATTCTTTGTTTTATAGCGATCTTTTTTCTTAAGTCCTTGAGTAATAACAATGTCTAGGAAGAATTACTCATATAATGACGCCAAATAACCTTGTAATAGTTTGAGAGAAACTTTTTCAGTGACATATCTTTAAGCCAAGTGTTTCTTTTTTGTCACTCTCAGTCTCCTGCATAATTTAGCCCTAATGATTGTTCTTGAGTGTCTCTGTTTGGCAAAAAAATGTAATTTTTTACCTCTCCCCCACTCCCTCCCAGGAAACAGGATGAAATTGAGAAAAACAATGAAGCACACAATCAGACCTCTCTGCACTGGCAGGAAAAGTACAACAATACGTTGCAAAATCTTAAAGAAGTCATCACTGAATTTGAAAGGTATATTGTCCACCACCTAGTTCCTAAGTTGCACCTTATAGAAAACCTTATGGAAACATAGTGGTGAAAGATGAACACTGGAGGAGTGACATCCCAACTAATATAATCTTTAGGACATTTGAATTTTTAGTTGTCTCAGCGTACAATTATTTTACAATCCTTCCCCTTCTCTATCCTATGTGCATTAAATAGGTTTTGAACTATGGAAGTTGGTGAGATAATAGCTTGTCATTGTACAATGGTTAAAAGGATTACCTTGGTTTTTTTGTTTGTTTGTTTGTTTTTTGTTGGTAAAGCCATAAAGGATCAGTGACTGAAGAAATGGTGGATCTTAGGTATGAGAATTCATCACTACGGAAAAAGGCTTTTGAGGCAGAAAAAACAGTTGAGCTTGTTCGGCAGCAAATGTTAGAGGTTCAGCACGCTAAAAATAAAAAGGATGAAGAATATGCAAGGTAGGACCACCTACACACTTAATTACCATAGTGAGGAAATGCTAAGTACCATACTTATATAAGCCTTATTACATTTTATTAGTATTTCAAGACAGCTATAATATCATTGATGCTGTTCACCTATTTGGATTGTAACTCCTTCTTGTCTTATTAGATGGCTTCAATAATTTGCATGATGAACCCAGAACTCTACTAGAATAGTAGAATCCACATTTCTCTCTCTTCATAAGAGAGGCATTAGGCAAGATTTAATTAGGGACTTTTGTTATAAATCAGTTAATTCAGGCAGTGTATTGCTATACATGCTATTTGGTAGGTATAAGATTTTATTTTGCTTTCATGAATTTTAACATTCAATTTTTATAGTAATTAAAATGAAAGTTAAAATCATGGATATGCAACTTTCAGTTTCACATGAAGGACTAGAAAATTTACTTGATTTTATATCTGCCTGAAATCTAAGGATGCTTGTAGACGTGCAGAGTAAATTGGCACTTAAAGAAGAAGAAATAAAAGAAGCAACAGCTTCTTCTCTAGAACAGATATCTGATTTACAGAACAAACTCAAGCAACAAAGTGAAGACTTTAACAGACAACTTGAGATGGAAGAAACAAGGTAATACCTTACAACACTTCTATTTCTCAAATTACAACTATGTTACTTATTGTTATTTAGTCTTTTTTCCCTTCATTTAGCAAAACTGGAGAAATGAATATGGAATTAACACAAGAAGTGGAAAAATGGCATTTCCTTTATGAAGAACTTTATAACAAAACAAAGCCTTTTCAGGTTTGTCCACTATAAATTTAAACAGTTACTTTTGATTGTCTTAGAAATATTTAATGCCAGTTACTTATAACTGTGACCTGAGCTCTCCTGAAGAAGATTCTATACCTGTCATAATGTGAAGTCTGTTCTCTAATGTAACTTCTTATTAAAAGAAGTGTACATGATACTGTCATGCTTAAATCTTTTAAATTAGTCTTGCTAATTTTTTTATTTTAAAAAAATTGGTTTAGTTTCTGTTTGTCACTTAAAGTATTTGTTTTGTCCTGAGGATAGAGAAAACTCAACATAAAAGAATTCAGTAACTGTGCTCATATTTTTAGCATTATCACGATATAAGACATGCTAGAATAATATGTTAAAATTTAATTTCTAAGGTTTAGCTGAATATGTATGCATGTGAACTTGAAAATTCTGACCTTTAAATTTTTGTCTGTAAATCTTTTTTAGGAACAATTGGATGCATTTGAAGCAGAAAAGAGAGCTTTATTGACTGAACATGGTACAACGCAGGAAGAACTGAATAAACTGAGTGAATCATATGCTAAGTTATTGGGGCATCAGAATCAAAAGCAAAAAATTAGACATGTCATGAAATTAAAGGAAGAAAATAACCAGCTCAAATTGGTTTGTAAATTTAACATTTCATTCTTGCTTTCATTCACAAGATTAATAAGACTCTCCCACATAGTTGGATTAGTAGATTCATTCCCCAATTTTTGAAAACAGAATTACAAAAATTTAAGTGGAATCACAGAATATTAGAATTGGAAGTAATTTCATAGGCAATGTCCATGTCATAAATCCCTACTTCACAGTGTTCCATCATGGTCATGCAGCTTATATGTAAATACCTCTGCAGATCATCCCATTTTTGACAGTTCCAATTGTTAGGAACTTTTCAGTTTAGTTAAAATCTGCTTCAGAGTAACTCACTGCTTTTAGTTTTGCTCTCTGGGTCCAAACTAATATTTCATCCACATAATAATTCTTTAGATGTTTGAAGGGTGCTAAAGTTCCCTTCTATCACCTCCACCCCTCACATCTCTCAGATTTTTTCTTCTCCAGGTTAAATCTCCCCAGTTCATTCCATGAACTTTTTTAGCATGATTTCCTTTTCCTTCTCCTCTTCCTCCTCTTCTTACTGTACTCTAGCTTCTCACTGTCCTTTCTAAAATATGGTATCCCACACTGAAAAAAAGTACTCCAGGAATAGCCTGTCTGACCAGATCGCAATATAGAAAGAATGTAATCTCCTTCACATCAGACATTGGCTCTGTTAATGCAGCCTAAGATTTCATTAGGTTTGTAGGTTCATCGTCAAACTATTGACATATTGAGTATGATGTCCACCAGAACCTCTAAGTGTTTTTCATGGAGACTTATTTCTTGATATTACACCACAGCCTTTCCTTGTGCAGACTTTTTTTTTTTTAAAGCTCAGATGCAGAAATTTTACATACATTTTTATGACCTTTCATCTTGTTGGCTGCAGCTTACCATTCCTGCCTTTTAACATTTTTGTATTCCAATTCTTTCATCTGGTTTATTAGCTACCCCTCTTAAAGTGTTGTGTCATTTTCAGATGTGATAAAAATACTATCCATGCTTTTACCCAAGTCACTGTCAAAAATTTAGAACAGAACAGGGTCCAAAACAACTGTGTAGCATTTTATTTCAGATTAATGTCTATCCAATAATAGATAGATCCATCCTGTCAGACAGTCTTATACCCTTCTAAATGTATTATTATTCAGCCTACATCTTTCCAATTTGTCTACAAGGATGTCATGAGACATTGGATTTCCGAAAGACATTTAGCATCTATACTTGAAAGAAAGGGAATGTAGTAGAAAGAACATTGGACATAATGTTGGAAGACCTGGGTTTAAATCCCAGCTTTGATACTTTTTACCTGTGCATCTACTATTAAGTCACTAAACCCTTAGAATCTTAATTTCCTCTTCACTAAAATGAAGGAATTGTGTTATATCAATAAGGACCCTTCCAGCTTGAAATTTTATGAAGTGTGTGTGTGTGTGTGTTCATATTTTTCCCATGGTGGCCCTCTTATCCAAAAAGGAAATAAGGTTAGTCTCAATGACTGTTCCTGATCACCTTCTTCTAACTACTCACAATAGTTTTAAATAATCTGTTTTAGTATTTTACCGAAAATTGAATTCATCCTTGCCACCATATAAGATGCAAGTATCTGTTTTCTCCATTTTTTAAGTTGGGATATTTTTCCATTTCCATTCTCTTATCTCAGTCCTCAGAAATCACCAGCAGTGGTATAGCTATGACACCAGCAAAGTTTTTGAGTACTCCCTGACATAGTTTATCCAGCCAGGTCTTTGATCTAACCTCAGTGGGAGCACAGTGAGGAAGTTCTTCACTTCACTTGACTTGGATTTCAATTTACTTTTTAACTATTTTGTTCTATTGGAAAACATTTTCATTAGCAAAATAAACAAATGCAGGGATCATATCCTGAAATGTTCAGTGTTTCAAATTACCATGATATTTTTAGGATGGAAGAACTTTATCTAACTATATGAGGGAACACTAGGCAAAATTGTCATAAATATTTCTATTTGCCTTTAATGTGAATTATATGATAACTGGCGAGTGGAGTAAGAAAAACATTTCTATCCTGAGATTAACTCCTTTTAGGATCGTTGGATTTAGATTTGCAAGAGGTCTTAGAGATCATTTTGCCCACACCATTTTTTCCCCTTTTCATTTTATAGTTGAGAAAATTAAAGTGAGGGTAAGTGACTTACTCAAGGTCTTACTAGTAAGTCAGCAGAGTCAAGGCTCAAACTCAGGTAGGACTCCAAATATTTAAGTGACCATCTTGAAAATCATCTGTCTCAATTTAGTTACAGATATGCCAAAAGAAAAATAAAGATTATTCCAGATTAATTTATAATTTATCATTAGTCTTAAATATTTTGAATGCAACAATAACTTGAAATCTGTTTTTAATACATCCTTTAAAACTAGGGTTCTTAACTTTTTTGTATGTATCATGGACCCCTTTGGCAGTCTAGTGAAACTTTTGGACTCCTTCTCAGAATGTTTTTAAATAATTGAAGGAATGTTAATTTCTAGCTAGAGTGAAAATTTGTATTTTCATTAAAATTTATTTTAGTGAAAATAAGAGGTAAATGTTTTCCCTGTCTACGTTCACAGATACCTTAGAATCTTTCTGTCTCAGGTTAAGAACCTATGCTTGGGAAACTTTGTACGTTATTGGCAAGTGACATTTATAGTACATCTTTATTGGAAAATAAAAATTACTGGTTGTTTGCTTTTTCTTTATTTAGGAGGTTTCTAAACTCCGTTCTCAGCTGGCTAAGGAAAAACAAGCTGGGAAAAGGCTTCAGGAACAAGTGAATGAAGCAAAAGGTTTCAAGAGGTTTGATCCTTCTAAAGCTTTTCAGCACGAGAGTAAAGAAAATTGTACTCCCAAAGTGCCTTTGAAAGAAGGTAAGAAAAGGTCAGTTTTGCCTGGCTTAACTCAGAAGTAGTGCCTGCTGAATAAAAAGGATGCTCTTTTTTGTGGGCATAAGCCTGCCAGAAAGAATTTTATGAGTTAAATCATTATAGCTATTGCTACTTAGAGAGAAAGGTCCAAAAATGGGCAGAACTTCCCCTTGCCTTTGAAAGATTCTCTAACATAAGCTTTTGGGGAGTTATCATTTATGATATTCTCAAACAATAAACAAAATACCACAGTCAAGATTAAGAAAGGGTTCAGAGTTTAGGTAACAGTCTCAGAATGATAGTTAACTTTTTAAAATGGCCTTGCACCCTATAGAATCATTATCCTAAAATTATTTTAGTTCTTCTTCAAGTAGTCCCTCCAAGGATCCTCCTTTGCACTTTCTAAAAGGAGAACTCGAGGATATGTTTATTTAATAAAGTAGTCAAAGACTTAATTTGATCATTCCCCAATTGGGCATTGAGAGTGAAGGAACTGCTCCCAGGTGGATCAAAAGTCTCTTTGCCCTTGTGTGGCCATCTCCCAAATTTGGTCATCAGAGAGAACAGAGTTCTTCCATGAACCTCTACTCATTTTCCTCAAAGTTTAGTGCAGAGCATTGTTTTGGAATAGATTATACAGAATGGCTAATGATTGTTTCTCAGATGACAATAATGACTTCAGTATAAAGTATTGTCCTAATATTATTTTGTAAGCTGAAACTTAAAAGAGGGAAGCGAGGCGGGGTGGGGTCATTTCCTTATGTTGTCACACTCCATATGTATGGAGAGAGATTCAAAAAGTTCCTTTTTATTCTGAATAAAGGTGAGGTTTTTCAGTATTGTTAATCCAGTTTTTTTTTGTATACTTATCAGTGAAAAGTATTCTGTAGGGAATGCTTTGCATTCCAGTTGACTTAGAGAAGAAAGGAGGCATATTGAGAATGCTTTACAGATTCATTGATTTAGAAAACAGACAAAATTCTAGCAAGCCCTAGGAATAATATACTTTGTTAATTAGTTATAAAGACTGAGAAACTAATTATAATAATTACAGTATAAATCCATACTTTTTGTATGCTAATATATTTGCTAATGATTCTTCTAGGTAACAGAAAATGCTACTGAGATCCTATGGAGTTTCTGGAATCATGAGACAAGACATCACAGATAATCTATAAGGACTATTTATAATTTATTGGTTTTTGGAATACTCTCAAATTCTGAGATTTTAATGATGCTGATAATTTAAAAATTCACCTCTCTTTAGCTGTATGAAAAGTATACAGTATTCCATTGACCTCGACTCTTCACATCCAGAGATAATGTCCCATTTTAGTTTTCTTTAACCTTTCCATTTCTGTTTCCATTCATACTTTCACTACTGTAGTGTAGTAGCCTATATAGCTGATTTCCATGCTTCAGTTCTCTTTTTCCTCTTTCAATTTTTTCTGTATACTTCCATCCGATTAGTCTTCCTTTAAAAAAATTATTGGTATTATATATTCTCCCAGCAAAATCTGCTGCATTGTTATTGCACTTTTGTTAGCAGCCAAAAAGAAAAAAAAAAGAGAGACAAAAATTAAAGTACTCAACTTACTATCTTGCGTGATCACGTTTAGATTGAAATACTAAATTAGGGCTACTCATTGCAACATTTTGAATAAAGGCTCGGTATGAGTTTGAGGAATATTAAAATAAGGAGACTTAGTCATTTTCACCTATCCCTTTCAATTCCTACATTTGCAGCAAATGCATCTCCAAATGAGTGATTATTTGATAATCTAATATCCTTTCCAAAGAGGAGGATGAACGAAAAAGTCCATTCAAAAAGTTTACCCATCCAAAAGTGACTTATTAGAGGATATTCTTTCTAGCTGTCTAGAGACTGGTGATATGTGCTGTGGTCATCCAGTTCTGTGTTCAAATTGAAATGATGGCATAGCAGTTCTTATGTAAAGTGCCACATTTTTCCCTTTTGTATGAGAAAAGTCCCATCTCTGATGTGTGTTAAAGATGCTTTCTCCTTGGAGGAGGGTGGAGGGTAGGGGAAGGTCATCCAGAATTGATTGGGAGCAAGGTATTATCTATTATCTTCCAGATCTATGCTTTGGGATCTTTGGGTGCAGTAATTGAGAAACATGAGGACAGAGGATTGGCATGCTTCCTCATTTCCTCAAGGTTGGCTAACAAGATGTGGACAGTTTTATCTAATATTCCAGTGGTTATAGGGTCATTTTGGCCCCAGATAGATGTTCCTCTATAAAGCTGTAATTAAAAAAAACTTCTAGGGCAAGTTTCAAGCTTGAAAGCCAAAGAAGGCAAGAAGCAATTAAAACTACTTAGATGTTCTAGGTATTAGTCAAATAATATATGTATACCTTTTCCTAGGGAGTTCTGCCCTGAATGTTTGTCCAGTGCTAGAAGGAAGAGTTTCCAATAAGAATCTGAGGCCTCAGATAAAGATACTTTTTTCCCTTGGGTTTCACATATGAATGTTAACTCAGGTTCTAAAAGAAATAGAAGAATAAACTTTAATACACTAGGATTTTAATTGGGAGGGGGGTGCATAGCAGGAGGGGAAGAAGCCTTTATTTATTTAGCTATGTATAAAGGTATGCATATTTCTTTCTAGCAAGAAATATCTATTTGCATTTCCCTTAGGAATGATGGCACTTGGAGTACTTCTAAATATATATATATATATAAAACTTAATGTACATCTGTATAACAAATGTCATGGAAACTACAAATCAGACCATTTAATTGGATTGTCACAGAATGTTAATGACTGCAATTAATTGATTCCAAATTATTTAATGTTTCTCACTCTATAACTTTATTTTCCTTTTCCCTTTTTATGCATTTTAATCTATGCTTCTGTGAAATAAATTTTTTTATGAAAGTCATTGAAAAAAAGGGATAACAAATATGATTAACAAAATTGATCTCTTTTGTATATCTTCTGTTTCTCTGCCATGCAAAACTGCCACTATATAATGCTTAGTCATGGGTGGCCTTGGATGTATTTAACTTAGATTTATGGATAAAATAAAAATTCACAAGGATTCTATGACTTTTCCCCATTTTAGTTACCTGCCATCCTCAGTTTTGAGACTACAACACTTTGTATTTTGAATTGATACTATGTGGATAGGTGACTTAACTGGCATTTAAATTATAGTGAGTTCTTTCTGAATTAAGAGCTGGTAAATATTTCTTTGGATTAGAAATTTTGGGGAAATGTGACAAAACTTGTCAGGAATAAATGTTTGACATTTTGATTTAAAAACAAAAATGAAAACAGTCCTAAGTTGCATGGGCTCATAAGTGGTAGGCTCATAAGAAAAATGTCAGTGTAAATATTAGACATTCAAAGCTCTTCACAAATATGAAGTCAACCTACAGTTAATTGGGAAATAGTTTGCAAATAAAAATACCTCTTTGGAAATTGGGGAATTCAGAGTATTAAAAAAAATTAGAGAATCCTTTCTCATTGAGTATACTTAGATTGCTGAGCACTTATTCTTAAAGAACATTTTAATTCTAGCTAGCAGTGGGAATACCAAGAAATATGACATCCTCATTCCTTTACCATTTCTTCTTAAACTGAGAATAAAGACATATCCAATGAGTTTCAATCTGGTATAGTAGAAAGATCAGTGGAAAGGAAACAAGTTCAAATTTGATTCTGACACAGAGATGTGTGACCCTCTGTATGTATCACTTAACCCCTGTGCCTGTTTTCCCATCTGTAAACTAGGGATAATATTTGCATTGCCTCCCAGACTGGTGAGGATAGTAAGCCAATACATTCTAGGTAAATGTGAGCTATTGAACTCCATTGTCCTTGTCTCCAAAAAGCATACTCAGAAAAAGATTTCTGCCACTAGATGGTCCCATTGGAGACTTTTTTCTTAATTAAATTTCTTTTAAAGCTGTTACTTCAAAACAAATTTAGTTACTGTTTTGGAACTTTACCAGTGTAGAAGTGGCCGAAGACAGAAGGCCTGCTTTGCTATATATGTTATCTCACTGATGTGGCTCCCCTTCCGGTGGTGCCTATCACAACCCATCTGTGCCTTCTCATCCTGCACAACTTTCGCCCATGCCCTCTGTCATTTCTTCACGGGGGCCTGAGCCAATTCCCTGAGGACTTTCTTGTAATAGTACATTGGTGCCAATGCAGCATCCAGGTATTTTTTTTTATCTTTTTTTTTTTTACTATGTGACTAGCTCATTGCTTTTTCTGATTACATATCTGATATATTTTATGTTACTCCATACATAACATTATTTGTAATGTGCTGCAATTGATGCCAATCATTTGAGAGACCTTCAATTTTGATTCCATAGCATTGTGGTTAATCCAAGATTCATTGCTATATAGTACCATCAGAAAAGCACTGGTGGTTTAAAAAAAAAAATGATGGGTTTTTGTTTCTGGTTGATGCTTAAAGTCATTGAAAATGCTATGAATTTTCCAAGTGCAATCCAGCCTGCTCTCTCTCGTTCATTTCTCTGAGGTTGATGGATCTTATGTTTTGTTTTTAAGCCAATATTGCCATTTCTAGCTAGTTCAGGAAAAGCAACTGAACAGGAATAGCAGCTTTCCAAACATGTAGAAATATTTCTGAAAAGCTGAAATGTGTAACAGTATTTAAGAGACAGTTGAGTTATAAGGGAGGTACACAAGGCAGGTGGCTCTGCCCTGGTCGTAGAAGGAAATAGAATAGAATCTACATCTAATGTAGTGTTAGGATGTGATTTCTTAAAATCTTGGAATTAAACGATCCTATTTATGAAATAAGTAGCATCTCTTCCTTATATCTTGGCATTTATAGAAATAAACATTTCATAGTATTGGTTAGAATGATAACTCTCAAACTTAGACACAGGGGTCCTTTATGCTTTTTTGTGTCTCAGACCCTTTTGGCAGTCTGATGAGGCCTATCAATCCCTTCTCAGAACACATACATACACACACACACACACACACACACACACATGCTACAAAACTTGGCATCTTGTAAGAATATGTGTGTCTAAATATATATATATGTATATGTATATACACATATGTATATGAATTTGTACTAATGGTAAAGAGAGATGTGTATATAGATGTGTGTGTGTCCTCTTTACTTTTACTCATTAGTACGAATTCAAGGTTTAGAACACTCCACTCACCCAGACTTAAAAACAACTTTTGTTTTTTCAAACACATAAGGTCAGGAAATGTCAGCGATAACAGTTCTGTTTGACTGTATCCTTGCCACTGATGGAGAAAAAACAGATTCAAATAATGAGTTGAGGCTTCAGAGCCCAACTGGAAACATGAATTTCCTCTACAACATGTCTGAAAAGTGTTACAGCTTTTGTTTGAAGGGATTTGGTGGGAGGTAAGTGTGGGGTAGACATCCACTCCCTCCTTAGCCATTCCTTTCTACTTTGGTATAGCTTAAACATTTGTGGAGTTTTCTTTACAAAATAACATTTGCCACTTTGCAACTTTCACCCATTGCTCCTATTACCCTCCAGACCAAGATTAAGGAGGTTAATCAAGTGCATGGTTGGCTGTTTCCTAACTGCCTACTTAGTATTTCTTACAAAAGGACAATTGCCACAAGTTACCAGCAAGGTTTTACCTTAAATCACTTAGACATACATAATGACTTGCTATTGCACTCTATTTAAGTCAAAATTAAGCCTGTAACTTCTCATTGGGCATTTTCAAGGCTGCCAGAAGGAATCAGCTGCCAGCTTACTAGAATGTGGAAAACGGCACGTGACCCAGAGACTAGAATCAAAATGCTAATTGAAAAAAGGTCAAGTGAAAAAGCCTCCCTCTTCCAGTGCAAGTGTTGTTTCCTGGCTGAAGTAGACAAAGAAACGGCTAGCCCTGGACTTTGCCTGGGGGGTTAGGGCAATCTCTAAATCTATTTCCTGAAATAAGAATTATGCCTGAAATGCTGGTGGAAATGGAACAGGTAAGGGTTGGACATTCAAGAATTAAAATGCTTTAGTTTGGGAATATGACCTGTTAATGCTTTGAAACTGAATCTCAATGAGAAAAATAGAACTAGTATGTAACAAACTTACAAAGTTAGCTTGAGTGTACCATTTAGATGTAAAAGTTTGTTCAACATTGAAAATGGGGGTGGGGCAAAGGCTTTGATTCAGGGGATCACAGCATTCAGTTAAAAGACAGTTTAAGGAGCTGACATGTACACAATGCCAAATGTAGTACGATTTTCATTTGCTAGCACTTAAAACGTTCTCCCCCACTACCTTGTCCCAGATTACTTAGGGATTCCATCTATGGTTCCCTGCTCCTGTTTTTCTTTGTTTTGCTATATGAAGAGATTTTGTCAGTATTGTATGTGTGTGTATTCCCCACCCTACTTAATTTAAATTTACAGACTAAGTTGTGACATACATGTTACCTACTGATTGGATTTACATTTATTCTCCTAGTATCACCAAGGATGTGTTTTCTACTCATAATAGCCTAGGAATAAAAACCAAGCCATTGTGACAGGTAGCCAAATACTGGTGTTCAAATATAGGTCAGGTGAGTTGCTATTACTGTAATAGGGCTCTTCCCCTCCCCCCCCCTTATATAAGACAGGGAAACTGCCATACTACATCTTACCCGGAGTCCCTCCATTGGGCAGAATAGGATGTTTTTTGTTGTTTTCTTAGTTCATGATTTGTTACATCAGAATCTCTTTTAACTTTAAACAAAACCATCCAAGAATAGTATCCAGGTTTTTTTTGTTTGTTTGTTTTATTTTGTTTTTTTCCCCCTGATTAACTTACTACCTGTAGATTTATGTTTGTAATTTAAGGACACTTAGTGTGATCTGAAACACCAACATACTCAGATTTACACCATAAGATCTACAATTGTTTTGGTTGGTCTTTTGTACCAGACTCTGTCCCTATTAAACAAGGGATTCATGCCACTTTTGAATGCATTGAGAGGTTGAAGGGTGGGGGAAGAAGGGCTGGGGAAGAATGGAAGAGAAGTACCTGGACTCTGAAAAATGGAGGTCTTTTCAAAGCATTGTATTTAGTCTTGAGTTGCTTTATATGATGGCAGATGACAATTAGGAAACCAACATCTTTCTTTAGTTTTCTGCTCTTCTCAGGAACATGGTTTTCCCCTGCTGTTTAGGTAATGTTATCTACTGTACTTGGAAGAACATTAGATACTGTTACATGTCTAGGACAGGGTCTGATAAGTCAAACCCATGATGTACTCTCTCCCTCGCACAGAGTACACGATGACCTTTGTCCACCAGTAATAGAGATGGCTGTGGAAGGGACTTTCCAATAGGCCAAACCTTTTTAGTTTTTCCCATCTACCTGGAATCTAAGATTTTCAGGGCTCTGACTTAATATAGAATGGCAAGGCAGCAAACAAGGTCATTCCCTGACTTGATTTGAGAGATTGGAGACCTAGTTATTTGAGGATTGTCCTGAAGAAGCAGTGTTTACTAGGTGCAGAAAAGGGGCAGTGAACCTATGGGCTAAAGGCTCCTGATAATGTGAGTGAAGAAGTCAGATACAGGATTTAGAGCTGGAAAAGATTTTTAGAAAATAGAATGTCAGTTTTCTTGCTTGATACAGTGTTAAGAATGCTTGGAGTCACAGGACCTGATTTTGAATTCCATTACCATTTACTCATGTGACTTCGGCCAAATCACACAACTTCTCTGAGTCTCAGTCTCATTTGTAAAATTAGGCGGCTGCATTGGCCTCCAGCTCTAAATCTGATGTAAGTGACGATGTGTCCAATATCACACAGCTAAGAAGTGGCAGGCAGATTCTAACAGGTTTTTT